TATATGTATATGTATATTTAAATTATATTTAAATTATATTAAAAAAATTTTATGAAATTTTTTGTGCGGGGTAAAAAAAAGAGAATATACATACAAAATAAAATATTTATTTTTATAATTATTAAAAAGATAAAAGTAATATATCCTCTATTTTTTAAAAATTAATATATTTTTAACTAAAACTTTTTTGAAAATTTTAAAGTGTTGGGAATTGTACATATTCTTCAATTTTATTTTAACGAGTGCAATTCTGACGCACGCGTCTAATACGTTACTGATCGATTGATTCTCAGTTCCGTTCCCGTTCCTAAATTCGCAAGAAAGCTCTGATTGCACTAGGCAAAGCTTTAATGAGCAACCTAACTGTATTCTTGTTATCTTAAGAATAATTTCGCGTTCCAGTTTACGCTCAAGAGGTTCTTCTTTGTTAAGAAATGTTTCGACTTTCTCGCAATCGAACTCGTCCCGTGTCGGCGTAATTTCTCTGACTGTTATTGGCTTTTGCACGGCGCCATGTATATACGGCGTCCAATTATTCGTACAATTAAACTTGAGAGACCGCATGTCTGAATACGGTGGTGTGTTCCATTGAATAATTAACGTCAGAAACGGCATCACATATAACGGAAATATGATGATACGGGAAAATCACAATTCAACCGAGGCAAATTATTAAGATTTCGAATTTTTTTTTACACAAAGTATGACATTAATTCGTTCTTTTTTTTTCAAAATTTTTTATTTCCTTTTATTTAGAATCATTTCTTTTAATTTAGAATTTGGGTTTATTTTTAATTAATTAATTTAATGAGAAATATTTTTTAATTTAATTATATTTTTTAATTCTTTTTATTTTTTTCGCTTGAATTAGTATTTATGAATAATTAATTGTTTAATTTAAAAAATAACAAATATGTCAATCTTTTCAAAGAAAAATCGGTATTAAATTTGGAAAAGATATTCAAATAATCAAGAAATTCCACGTAGATTCAATATTCTGAATGATATAAATGTATAAAATACATAAAAGCATAGATTTAAATTCTCTCCTCAACAGATGTTTCAAATTCTTTCACATTTCATATTCTTTTAAAAATATTGCAACCATAAATGATGTTTGCTAGTATAATATACTTTTCTTATGAAGATGTTATATAACAAATATGCCAATAAAATGAGGGCGATTTATATGTATATGCGTAGGGAGAACCGAACACGTGTTAACACGTGCGAATATGCTCAGACAGGCAATTTAAATGCATGAAGGTGATTGAAGTTATGCAAGCGATGCCTAATTCGACTTTAAAATTTAACAAGGTGTAGAGCGAGAAAAATTTACACAAGTTGCAATTGCCATAGTTTCATTATTAAAAAATCATCTTAATAAAGATAACAAAAAATAAAACATATATAAATAATATAAATAAAATATGAATTTATTATATTTCTACATATTTTATTTTTATTTGCTTAAATATATTTATACTTCATATACATATAAGAAAATAAAAGCCATATGATAAGATACAAAAAATTAATTTTTTAAATTTAAATTAATTAATCGTTCTTTAAATGTAATTAAAAAATAGAGTTCAATATATAACTAATTAAAGAAGTTAATAAAAAAATAATACTTAATACTCTTTTCCGTTTAAAATAAATTAATTATGACAAGTCATCACAACTTTTGACTGAAAAGAATTTTTATAAAACTTTTACAAGTAAATAAAATTTTTAATACAATATAATAAAACGTTTGTGCTTCCGCTGTTTTATCAAGAAATGCTCTTCTATATCTGCATATATTTTATCGAATAACGATCATATGTATTGAATTGCTGAGAGCAGTGGATTTTGTGCCAAATCAATTCTGAAATCAGAATTCGGATCAAGATACTCTTGACAGAGTTTCTCGCGTAGTCCTTCCGCATCGTATCAAT